ATCCTCGTCATCATCATCATCATCATCATCATCATCATCATCATCATCAGCATCATCATCATCATCAGCATCATCATCATACTCCGTTGCCTCCATTCCCAATCCTCATCATCATTCTTACCGCTCGCCGTCGTCGCCGGTCATTACCGCCATCGCGCGCTCCCGGCAGCAGGGAAGCGTCCCGGATCGGCGGCACTGGCCGGAGGCCACAACAATAACGCACCACAACTGGCTAAAACCGCACCTGGCCCAGATAACCAAAACTATTGGCGCTGCCTCACAATGAGTGAAAAAAAACAATGCAAACCAAAACAAAAAACTGATGGCGCATCCGGGCGCACTGAAGTGGTACCTGAGTCTGCTCAGATTGCTTTAAAGAAATCCTGGGCTCGCAGGTGTAGAAAACACCCGTTCGTTTCCTCGCTCTCGCCTGCCCCCCTCAACCCCAAATCGCACAACGCGGCTTCGACTGCCGAGCCCGCGCTGCTGCCGAGCAGTGGCGCCTCAGAAAATCATGCCGCCGGGGCGCTGCTATTCTGAGCTCGATGGCCCCAGGAGGGACTCGAACGTGAGCATGCCTCACATCTGAGAGCGCGAGCCTCCTTCGTCCCCGCTCTCGTGCAACGGCGTCTGATGCTCGCACAGGCAAAAGTGCACACAAAGACGACCGACTGCAAGGCGAACGGGGACGGCTGGCACGACCACGGCCAGGAAAGACGCCCCGACAGACTGCGGCCCCCAGCACAAGCAGGAGCACCCACAGGCAACTCCGATGGTCCACAATCGGGGGCGGCCAAGAGGGGGGCCTCCTAGAGGGGGGGCACAAATCATGGCAGGCGGCATGTGCGCGGCCCAGGGAGGAAACAGGGACGTATTGAAATACGAATGAGTTCTGGGGAGATATCATGGCCCTCGCCATGATATCCACCCTCCCCTAGTCATCACCCCCTCTTGGCCGACCCCGACACAAGGACATGCTCCCAGGAGCGGAAGCTGCACCTGCAAGTGCCTGCGCGAAACGCCATGCCGCTGGACCACCCAGGGGCGCAGCAAAGCTGCGACAACGGCACGACAGGTATCATTCAGGGAGGGCAGCCAACTGCTGGGTTTGCCCGAAATGTCACTCCGCGGACCTCCCAGGGGCCGAGCAAAGCGGCGACCGGTGCGCCCCCAAAAGCGCAGCACAAAGGCGACGGTCACACGCCTGGGAGCACCACAGCATGTGGGGCAGCACTGAGGCCACAACGAAAATGGCAGGAGGCAGGACAAAGAAGTCTGAAAAGGACCAACAGAGCTCCATCAAAACAATGGCCTAGCGTGTGAAGGCTGGAGGGGGAAACGGGCGGCCCGTGAAAGAGCAAAACAATGAGTCTACCCCGAGATTCCCTGGCACGTCCCGCTGAGTGTCTAATTGTATGCGTCTAGGTGCGAGAGCGAGTCCGACTGGACGACGGGAAAGACTGCAACGACGACGACGACGACGACGACGACGACGACGACGACGACAACGACGACGACAACGGCGGCGGCGGCGGTCCCGACGGCGGCGGCGGCGGTCCCGATGGGGACAACGACAACGACGACAAGTCACAAACAGGCAGTGTGCAGGTCCCTCCCATCTGCTTCCTCTTCCTCCTCGTCGAACCCCCTTCCCTGCTTTTCTTGTTTCCTCCCACATTTTCCCTCCTCCTGGGTCCGCCTCCTTTCTTCTCCGTCCTCTCTCATCCTCCCTGGAGGGTGCGCCGAAATGGGCGGATGGCAGCATGTGGACACACCCATTGGGGCACTAAGTGGAGCTCGCTATGGGGCCACGAAGTGCGCGAAATGGGCTGGGGTGCGCGTATGCGCCGCCCCTCCCTGGGAGCTTCATTGGAGCCACCATATGGCGCCACAAACCGTGCGAGGAGGGTGCCGACATGGGCCGGGGGACGCTGTGCCGAAGGCGGCCCCCGGGACACGAAGAGACCCCCGAGGGGCCCCGAGACGGACAGAGAGCTAGTTCAACATTACCACAGAGTGGTTCGGCCTGGAAGGGGGGGGGCGGCGGCAGAGGGCGCAGCCTTTCAGAAGGGATCGCGATGCTCATGCAAGAGGTTACGCGCTGAAGAAGCAAAGACGTGCTGCCAGTCCTCAGACTTACTAGTTCTGCCTGGGGCGCGCGTCAGGGTTGCTACGGATGCGCTTCATCCACACGAGGCAGAGGTTAGCGCTGCCCTGAGATCTCGCTGACTAGCCAGCCAAACTGTCTCGCACTGCCTGTGAAGCGCGCTGACCGCCCCATGCAAGTTGTAAAACGGTATGCGGCTTCCGTAGTGACGACCACAAGGGCCACAGCGTAGCGGCGACGTCGCAGCCCCGTCGCGACAGGCTGCTAAGCACTACCATCGCAATGGCCCGTCAGCACCCAGCGCTGCCTGTCATCAACAGCGGGCACCCGACACCAAGCACAATGAGCCACGCACGATTGCCAGCTCTGGGGTCGGCACCACAGGTCACGACGTTAGAAACGTGAACTACTTGAACGAGAAGGCGAGGGCCAGTGACGAAGAGACGAGCAGTGGTAGGCACGGAGAGTCCCACCAGCCCTCTGGGCGTAGGTGGTCTAGGGAGGCTCCTCTTCCAACCCCCTTTTTCGGGAAGGGTTTCCCTTCCAACCCCCTTTACCCCTCCCCTAAACCTAAACAAAACACCCCACGAGGCGTTGGAGCGCCGAAGGCGCCCCATGACGGCTCCAAGAGGGCCTCGGAGAGTCCAAGATGGCTTCGAAGATGGCTCAAGATGTGTCAGGATGGCTCGAGATGACTGCCGAGATGCTCCAAGAGGCCCCAAGACAACCTCAAGACGGCTCCAAGTGCCCAGAGGGCTCGCCAAGGAGACCCCCAAGAGCCAAAATCCTTCAAAAACCTTTGGGGAATCCATGTGATTGGCGTTCTCGCCGTTTCTCTTCCGATGACCATCCGAGGCCTCAAGATGGCTCCAAGATGGCCCAAGAAGGCTCCAAGAGGGGCCCAAGAGGCCCCCAAGACGGCCCCAAGAGCGCCCCAAGATCGCCCCAAGAAAGAATTGCTTGGGCTCCCGAGGGGGGGGGGGGGCGCCTAATTGAAGCTCCCCTCTTGTTTGATCGATGTCTTCCAAGATGGCTCCAAGAGCGCCCCAAGAGCTCCCAAGAGCGCCCAAAGAGGGTCCCAAGAGGCGTCCAGACGGCCCCAAGAGGCGTCCAAGGGGACTGCAAGAGGCTGCCAAGAGACCCCCAAGAGGCCTTAAGGGGATCCCCGAGGCACTCAGAACGCTCAAAGACGGTTCTGGGCCCGCCAAGATGCCCCGGCAGACGCCCCAAGAGGCCTCCAAAGTCCAAGCGACATCCCAGGATAATCCGAGAGGCACTCTAGAGGCTTCTGGCTCTTCTGTTCGCCCTTTTCCTCCTCCTCCTCCTCCTCCACCATTCCTTTTCCTTATCAATAACTTATCCTGGGCGTTTCGCCTGAGACTTCCTTACCATTTATAACTCTGAAACATAAGAATGGGCAACCGCTTCGCAAATGGAGGGCGAATCGTTTTCAAAATGTGGCTCTCGCCTTAGCGTGGCGCACATTCGTTGTAAAATGTACAATGAGCTTCACGGATTTAGGGCGGGTTGTTTTCAAAATGTGCCTCTCGCCTTGACGCGGCGCAAATTCTTTTTGAAAAATTACAATGAGCTCCACGGATTGAGGGCGGGTCGTCTCTCGCCTTAGCGCGGCGCACATTCGTTTTTTATTTTTCAATGAGCTTCACGGATTGAGGGCGGGTCGTTTTCAAAATGTGGCTCTCGCATTAGCGAGGCGCACATTCTTCTTTTGTCATTGCAAGAGCTTCACGGATTAAAGGCGGTTCCTTTTCAAAATGTGGCTCTCGCCTGAGCGTGGCGTACAGTCGTCTTAAAAATGCAAGACTCTCGCGGATTCCCATCGTCAACGTGTCAGAGATTTTCTTCTGAAGGGATTCAGGATTTTACGGGTGCAACAAATATATAGGTTCGCTGTGTTGAAGTCCCAGGACTGGTGTTCTGGTACGGTTCAGGATTGTCAAGACGCAGCAGTCAGGTTGATCCGTGGCGTCGGAATCCCGACAGTAACGTTTTGGCCTGCTTCAGGGTCTTCAAACGGTTGTCTTCCGAAGAGGCAGTGTCTTCCATGTAAATGAACCCTTGTATGTGGCCTATGAAGAGGGAGCTCGGAGGAAGGGCATGTTTCCAACATCGTTGATGACTCTTGGGTTTACACTGTTCGTCCCTCATCATCCTCATCCTCATCCTCATCCTCATCATCATCAGCATCAGCATCAGAATCACCACCACCACCACCGTCATCATCATCATCATCATCATTATCATCATCATCACCATCAGCAGCATCATCATCATCAGCATCATCAGCATCATCAGCATCATCAGCATCATCAGCATCATCATCATTCACAACGTCATCCTCATCACCACCATCATCCTCATCATCAGCAGCAGCATCAGCATCCTCATCATCATCATAAGCAGCATCAGCATCATCATCAGAATAATCATCAACATCATCATCATTTTCATCATCGTCATCCTCGTCATCATGATCAGAATCATCGTCATCGTCATCGTCATCATCATCATTATCCCAGTGCGACCCTACCTAGGAGTTGGAACCCTAGGAAAGCAGCATTAGTAGTAACAGTAACGCTAAGCTAAAGCTAAGCTAAAGCTAAGCTAAAGCTAAGCCACAGCTAAGCTAAAGCTAAGCTAAAGCTAAGCTAAAGCTAAGCTAAAGCTAAGCTAAAGCTGAGCAACAGCAAAGCTAAAGCTAAGCTAGCTAAAGCTAAGCTAAAGCTAAGCTAAAGCTAAGCTAAAGCTAAGCTAAAGCTAAGCTAGCTACAGCTAAGCTCAAGCTAAGCTAAAGCTAAGCTAAAGCTAAGCTAAAGCTAAGCTAAAGCTAAGCTAAACGCTAAGCGAAAAGCTAAGCGAAACGCTAAGCTAAAGCTAAGCTACAGCTAAGCTAAAGCTAAGCTAAAGCTAAGCTAAAGCTAAAGCTAAAGCTAAAGCTAAAGCTCCCAGGGGACTGGGGGAAACCGCTCCCAGGGGACTGGGGGAACCGCTCGGGGCGTGTAGCACTGCCCGGCCCCTTTAAGCTAAGAGAGTAAGAACCCTTCTAGGCAGAGCCTAGGTAGGGAATAATCATAATCATAATCAGCAGCATCAGCAGCATCAGCATCGCCATCAGCATCATCATCATTATCATAATGTTAATCATCAGCACTATAAGCATCATCATCATCGTCATCATCATCATCACTATAATCATGATCAGTATCGTCATCATCAGCATCATCAGCATAACCATCATCATCATCATCATCATCATCATCATCATCATCAGCCTCATCATCATCATAATCAGAATCATCAGCATCATCATCAGTATCAGCATCACCATCATCGCCATCAGCATCAGCATCAGCATTATCATCCTCATCATCATCATCATCATCATTATATATCAACAGCCGCACCATCATCGTCATCAGAATCAGAATCAGCGTTTTCATCATCGTCATCATCATCATCATCATCGCCATCATCGTCAGCAGCATCATCATGATCAGCAGCATCATCGTCATCATCAGCAGCAGCATGATCATCATCATCATCATCATCATCATCATCATCATCATCATCATCATCATCATCATCATCATCATCATCTGCATCATCATCATCATCATCAGCAGCAGCAGCAGCAGCACCAGCATCATCATCATCATCATCCGCAAGCTCATCATCATTATCCCTCCTCCCTCCGCCCTCCTCCTCCTACTCCTCCTCCTCCCACGGAAGATAACGACTGTCACCCATTCTGCTCCTACGCTTCCATGATCGTCTTAACTCGCCTGGGCGTCGGTTTGGGATGGGCTGGTGAGGATACGCGAAGCGTCAAGACTGAACAAGCAAGGAGCAGGTTTAGAGAAAGTGGGCGAGAAAGAGGGCAGAGGAGGAGGGCGAGCGTGAAAATGGTGAAGAGGGGATGGAAACAGGACCTGGAGTGCACGGGTCATGGATGGAATAGGAGATGCGACGAGGGAACACTGGAAAGGCAAGGGCCGAGGGGAGGTGACCGCGCCCACAACATGGTGCGACCGCAAGGGCACAGAGGCTCGACAGCCGGTGCAGAGAAGTGTTTCCGCGGTGTTGCGTGCTGCTTCCTCAGCGCCGCTGTCACGCATGGATTGAAGCGGCATCCGCCGCAGCAGGCTCCCTCGGCTCCAGCGCTAGAGACACGACCCAGCAGACAATCGAAAAGCTCAGTAGAGCGGCCCATCTGACAGCTATCGCAAAATTCCCCTCGGGTATCATGACGTCCCGCAGGACCACGGTGAGGTTGCACATGCGCACTGACATGAACAGGTATGCTGCCGAGACGAGCCTCCAGACCCTCCGTGGAGAAGGTAACCTGACACTCTCTGACACGACCGAGCTATATGGCCGTCTGCACTGTTCCGAGGAGGAGGAGCAGCAGCAGCAGCAGCAGGGAAGAGAAAGGAAGAGGGGAAAGGCCCCCGCGTGGGATCCACATGGATCCCAGCGATCATCTGTCGCGACGGTGACAGAACTGACCCCTTATGAGACTCCAAGCGTCTGAACCCGACCCGACCGCTGGAGGAAAGAACCTGGGTGAGTACGGCGGCATGCCACAAGGCGTCCTCGACAACGAAATTAATCCAGAAATAGTCTGGGACAACGACTAGGAGCTTCTTGGGGGAGCCATTAACTCCCGTGGTTTTCATCCATACATGAAACTGCAGGATGTAAGTCTCGAGCGTGTACTTCCCCATGTAAGCAAATACGCCGAGGTACCGCTTCCGCGCCGTCGCTGTCAGGTTCCTAGTCAAGATGTAAAGCGAGACTGGAAGCCAAGACGTGTAAGCATGAACAGCGTTGTAGGCGAGCTTCTCCCTCGAAAACACGATGCCAACCCAGACGCTCGCAAGAAGTAACGTCGCTAGCAGAAGCGCGCCATTCCAGGCCGCGCGAAGCCCAACCTTCCTCGACTCTATCCACTCAATGAACGCCTCGTACTCGGGAAAGAAAACGGCACACACCATGCCATAGATCCATATGAAACGGTCCAGGCCCGAGCGAAAGTGCCACTCGTGCAAGTCGTCCGCGTACTCTGGGTGGACTGGATCGTGGAAAGCGAAGAGAAAGTGCGTCCCTGGTAATAGGCCGAAGACCGCCTGAAACAGGACGGCAGGCCCGTCGTACAACGCACAAATCCCGGAGAAAGCGATACCGATCTTCACATACATCCACCACTTGTATCCGTTAAGGGCTTGCTTGACATACAGCATTACAATGACTAGAATAGTAAAGAATGTGTGCATGCCACAGATGTAATACAGCATATACTCATTATTCAGCGCCGCGCAAGCAATAAAGCCCAAGAAATTCAGCCGGAAAACCATCTGAAAATTCCGCCGCAGTGTGAAGCTCCTTCCGCGCACGTACAAGGAATAGTTGCCGTACCCTGTCAGGAAGACGTACGCGGCGATGTAGACCCGGATGGCGTTGTACACCTCGTCCTCTTTGAAGTAATGATACAACACGAACATGACCTGCATCCACCCTTTCCACTCGTCGGTCTGGTCACGCTGCAGCGGCTTCGGCCGGTCCGAGCTCTTGGCCGACGCCAGCGCCGCCACACAGACGAGCGTCCACAGGCCCCAGAAGTACCTCCTGTCGGCCACCTTGGGCCCCGCAGCAAAGACGTCCGTGCGATCGCACACGTACATCGCCGCGACGATCGCCGTCAGCTCCCCGCAGGCGCGGAGGGACGCGAGCTCTCCAGCCAGCGGGCTCCGCGGCGGCATCTGCTCCGCGGCCTCCGCGGAGGCGTGGCCGAGGCTGGAGCGCTTGGGCGAGTGGTCGCCAGCGCAGCCGATGACAGTGAGCTGACAGCTCTCGGGTGCCGCGGCCCCCTGCTGCCCGAGGTCCCCGGCACCGTCGCGACGGCAGTGGACCTGGCCGGCGCCCTTGGGGCTCTCCTCCGCGGGGCCGCGGCCGACGAGGAGCTCGCAGTCCCGCCCAGGCTCGCGGCCGGGCGCGGACTCCGCTCCCGAGCGCGCGGGAGAGAGCTTCTCGGCGGCCGCCCCCACCGAGCCCGCGGCCAGCGCGCATGCCTCCGCCGCCAGCCACGCGGCAGACAGCACGCAGAGGCCCACGGCCAGGGACACCTGTGCGCGGGTGTGCTGGCCGTACGAGTGCAGCGATCCGAGCCACCGGCACAATGTGCCCAGCGCCACCGCGCAGACTAGCCTGGGGGGTCAGCCACTCTGCCCGCCCTCCCTCCGCCCTCCCCTCCCGTCCCTGCCGTCTCCCTCCCCTCGCTCCCCCTCTGTAGGAGGGGATCGCGGGCCGACGCCCCCTCACTCACCGCCCAGGAGTTCATGGTATGAGGGGAGCTGCCAGGGCGGCAACTCGATGATTGCTCCTCAGCTCACCTCCTCCTGGGCAAGCCCACCCAATCCAGGTGACCCCAGGATGGCAGAGAGAAAGGAGAACACCAAGTTCATGGGGGAGGGACGAAAGTTGTTCCCCTTTTTGCTTTCAATGGTCTTCCAAGGCCTCAGAATGGCTCTAATAGTTAATGCCCAAGAGCCCCAGGAGGGGCCAGAGAAGTTCCAAGACGGCCCCAAGAGCGCCCCTGGAGCATCTCAGGAGGGCTCCGAGAGGCAATAATTCGGGCTTCGACGGGGCGGAGTGGATCAACGCCGCCCCCGTTTTTGCTCGATTGCCTCCAGGACGGCCCCAAGAGGGTGCCGAGGCCCCCCCAAAGGACCCCAAGAGACCCCCAAGAGGGCGTAGAAAGGTCCCAAAATCGCCCCAAGAGGGCCCCGAGATGGCTCCAAGAAGCCTCCGGCAGGCTCTCAAAGCGAACCATCCTCGAAGGTCTTTACGGTCGACTCCTATCCTCGTCGTCGTCTCGTCTTCCGTCCTCCTCCTCCTCCTCGTCCTCCTCCTCCTCGTCCTCCTCCTCCTCAGCATCTCCATCTTCCTCCTCCACATCCTTCTCCTCCTCCTCCTCCTCCTCCTCCTCATCCTCATCCTCTTCCTCCTCCTGCTCCTCCTCCACCCCTTTCACTGCCACATGACTCATCCCTGTCGCACACACAGACGAGCCGGTCGGGCGGGACAGGCGTTTCGCCTGAGACATCCTCCCCGTGTGCGATCCTGAAGCTCGAAAATCGCGACTGCTTCAAGGATGGAACACATGTCGCTTCCGGCATGCGGCTCTCGCCTGAGCGCCACGCGCACTCGTCCTACAAGTTCGCAACGTCGTCAAGCTTGAAAGATGGAGCGGCCGTTTCCAAAATGGAACTCTCGCCATCGCGCCGCACACACTCGTCATGAAAGCTTGTAACAGTTGCATGGATGGAGGGCGGCTCCTTTTCAGAAGATAAAGGTCTCACGCTAGCACCACGCACCTTCACCTTAACAATGCGCAGCAACTTCAAGGATGGAGGGGAGAACCCCCCGAAGTTTTCAGTATTTGTGGTCTGTTCGGCTGATCGGCTCAACCTGGTTTCACGATGGCTTCAGAAATCTCCAAGTCTAACCACGACGGGGCCAGGGGCCAGCTGTGGTCACCCAGCGAAAGCGCGCTTGCAACACCCTTGAGGCCAAGCGGTCGTGAAGAGCGCCCAGCCCGCGCGCATGCCTCGCCCGCCGCCGCCGCAGGAGACCGCCAGGGGCTGCGACGGGGGGGGGAGGAGGGCGGAGGAGGAGGCCCACTACTTTCTCAAAACCCTCTGACAGCCTGTTGTGCTCGAGGGGCTGCAGAGAGAAGCAACTATCAGAACTAAGGCTCATGTCAAGGAGGAGGAGGCCGAGACCTCCAGGCGTGCTTCCCCCAAATTCTGGGGCTCTGGATCGGGCGCTGGGGCGCATCGCGGCGAAGAACGGGTCCTGCGTCAGGGGTCGAAGAGCTTGAAAAAAAAACGCGTCGTGAAAACAAATGATGTCGGCGTCCGCTTGAAGCGCACCCCTGGCGATAACCGATTGCCGGACACTTTTGATCACAAACCCAGCGCCTGGGCCCTGAACAGGGCACGGAAACGTCCGCAATCTGAGGCACAAAGTCCTCCATGTTACACACACACACACACACACACTCACGCCTCTTGCCACCAGGGGCCTAACGATTTGAGGAGGCTCGCGCTGCGAGCTCACATCATCCAGACCCCGGCGAGCGCGGAGATATGGGGCCGACAATCGGCCCCCGCGGACCAGAAACAGCGATTGAAGCGGACTCGGCGGATGCGCCTGGAGAATCCCGAGCCAGCGGCTGAGCTCGCAGAATCCTCGCAAAATCGACCCCGTGGAGCCGCTCCTCCTCCATCCTCCTCCCTCCTCCTCCCTCTTCCTCCCTTCTCCTGCGCCCACCTCATCCTCCTCCCTCCTCACTCCTGTTCCCTCCTCATCGCCAAAGAAGAAGGCCTCCATGAGGGAGAGGGGATGGGGCGGGGCCCCGGAGAGACGGGGGGAGCGAAAAGTGGCGGGGGAGGCGGGGGGAGAGCGAGGCGAAGGGGGGAGGACAAGCCAGGAGCGCTCGCTCCACATCTGACATTAGACATGCCGGTTCCACTACTCGCAGAGTAACTACTCGCAAATGGCCTGGACCCGCCGCGGGGGATTTACAGTACATTACATATAGGAAGACATGTTTTTTTTTCTGACATTTGCGAGTGGGCACTCTGCGAGTAGCGGAACGCGCTCGGGGAGACATCGCATTATCCCACCCATCCTTTCAAATCGTGCTGATCTTTATCTATCCGCCGCCGCGCTTCAATGCGGAACTGGAACTCAAAAAAAACATCACGCTGCGCGGCGTTGTCGAACAAGGGGAACTGCGCGTACACAGGAGGAGGGGGAAAAGAAAGTGGCGGATAAGCAGGCGGCGAAAGACCCAACCATATGCAACTGTGACTACAGCGTTGTGGATACCGACCGCATTCGGTAAAGCTCCCCATGGGGCGACGAAGCGTGTGAGGGGTGTGTCGAACTGGGCGCGGTGGTGCCATGCGGGCGTTACCCAGGGGCCTTCGGTCGAGCCCCCATATGGGGTCACGAAACGTGCGAAGGGTGTACCAAAACGGCTGCGCCTTCGGTGGAGTTCCTTCTTGGGGCACGAATCGTGTGGAAGGTGTGCTGAATTGGGCGCGGTGGTGCCATGCAGGCGCTGCCATGGGGGCCTTCGGTGGGGTTGGTTCCCTATGGGGCCACGAAACGTGTGACGGGTATGCCGCCGTTGGGGCACTCGGTGGAGTTCCCTATGGGGCAGCGTGTGAGGGGTGTGCCAGGGCCTTCGGTGGAGCCCCCCACAGGGCAGGGGTGTGCCGAAACGGGTCCAGTGGCGCCATGCGATCACATCCACTGGGGCCCTCGGTAGGGCGCCCTATGGGGCCACGAAACGCGTGAGGGGTGTGCCGAAACGGTCGCGCTGGTGCCATGCGAACGCACCCATTGGGACCTTCGGTGGGGTGCCCTTCGGGGCCACGAAACGTGTGAAGAGTGTGCTGACACGGGCGCGGTGGCGCCAGGCAAGCGCAGCCCTGGGTGCCTTCGGTGGAGCTTCCTATGGGGCCACGAAATTTATGAGAGATGCTCTGAACTGGGCGCCGTGGTGCCATGTGAGCGCAGCCACTGGGGCCCTCGGTGGAGCTCCCCATGGGGCCACGAAAAGTGCAAGGGGTGCGCTGAACTGGGCGCGGTGGTGCCATGCGAGCGCAGCCATCGGGACAGTCGTGGGAGCTCCCTACGGGGCCACGAACTGTGAGAGGGGTGTGCCGAAACGGGCGCGGTGGTACCATGCGGACGCGGCCAGTGTGGCCTTCGGTGCAGCTCCCTGTGGGACCACCAAACATGTGAAGTATGTGCCGGCACGGGCGCGGTTTGTGCCATGCGAGCACCGCCCATTGGGCACCCGGTGGAGCGAAGCTCCATATGGGGCCACGATATACGTGCGAGGGGTGTGCCGAAACAATAGCATGCGGAGGGCAGAAGCAGGGATGGGAAGGAGGAGAGGGAGGACGAGGAGAGTAGGAGAAGGAATGCGGGGCGCTGCCGCTTTAAAACGAGGACCTGGGAGGAGGAGGACCAGGGAGCTGGAGGACGGGAAAGAAGGGGGCGAAAACGACAATCAAAGACTCGGATCCAGATACGTGGCCCGCGCTGGGGCGAGAGCGCCATTCTGAACGCCAAGGGCAAAGCCGCGATCCTAGAATGAGGCCAACGCTGCATCAGAAGCACGACTTTTGAAGAACCGAGAAATTTCGAATTGGAAAAAACTGTAGAACAAAAAAAATAATTCGCCCACATCACGCGCAAGAGAACACACGCGGAGGGGGGGGCGGATACCGGATACTCTCAGCACACCTTCGGGGGAAAAAAAAATTAGCATTCACATGGCGTGAGCGTGGAGGGCGAAGAGACTGGGGAACAAGAGCTCGGTCGAAGCCAGGTGTTGCATATGTGCGTGCAATCGCAAAGTTGTACCTTATTTCTTCGGCCCCGCTCCTTTGCCCGCGCCACTCCTATTCCCGTTTCGTCCTCTTCCGATTTCGCCCCCCTCCTACGACAGCATGTCAGACTGCGGCGCCCAGGGGAGACGCGCGCCCCCGCGTACTTTCCGCAATCGGCTGGCGCAATCGGCTGGCGCTCGGGCGCAATCGGCTGGCGCTCGCGCGACGAGCCTCTGGACATTGCGCCAGAACGCAGCACACTTACTTTAACTGTGGCCGTACTCTGTACTCCGCATTTGTCGCGCACGTGCCTCTCGCGTCGAAGTGCATCAGTGCGACGTGTCATCTGCGCGCTGTTCAAATTCACTCCTATCTCTATGGTCGTACGCAAGCAATTAGCACTGCTATGGTCACATGGGCAAAGTTCGCAACGCGTGATATCCCGGACACCGCACAGCGCGCCACGCAGACAGCCACCTGTCCGTGCCACCGCGCACGAGGGCAGCGTTCTATCCTGTGCTGCTTTCTATGTTCCGTGCCAATCGCACAGAAGCAAGCGCGGAGACATTGCCAAACTAGAAATCACACGCGATTGCAAACCGAATCCCATTTCACAAGTCTTCTCCTGGGATGTTCGCCTGACCACGGGAAGTACAAGCAGACATTGCACAGACTCTGGCACGGGCAGCGACCGCACGCCAGACATCACTACCGCGGAACACCTGAATTAATCCCATGTAACACGCGCACGTCACAAAGATATAACTTGCCGCAAATGGATATGCTCGTTGGGAGCGCACACACGGGCATCATTACACGAACGGCTTTGACCCGAAAACAGCACTTCACTTTGGGAATTGCTGAATATACTGACCGTCTTGCATGTGGGCTTCTCTCTTGCTCTCTCTCTCTCTCTCTCGCACTTTCTCTCTCCCTTTTTCTTTCTCTCTCTCTCTCTCTCTCTCTCTCTCTTTCTTTCTCTCTTTCTCCCTTCTCTCTTCGGTTTCAGCAAGTGCGCGCATGCCGACTACGTATCGAAGGTTTCACGGGCGGCGCCAACTGTTCTCAATTGTACCAGACTGGATAAAAGGAGCCAGGTTAACAAGAAAATTTCAACTCATGACTGCCTGTATGCAGGACGGGGTTTGTGCGCGATTTGTGTAACACAAATACGCAGTGTGCCGCAATGAGCAGCAGCTTGGCTCTGAGGGAAAATGTTGGCATGACTTTCGATTGCAATGGCCGCTTTTGATCGCTTCTGATTTGGCCGAACACACCAAGCCACGCGCCCAAACAAAAATTTCGGGGGGAGTAAAATAACAAAGTTATCCTGTCGAAGGACCCAACCATATGCAGTTGTGAATAACGCAAGTATTGGATCGTTCTCGATGGAGCTCCTTTTGAAGCACGAAACGCGTGAAGGGTGTGCCAACATGGGCGCGGCGGTTTCATGCAAGCGCAGCCCCTGAAGCCTTCGGTGGAATGCCCCATGGAGCCACTAACCTGGCGAGGTAGGTGCCGCAATGGCGCGGTGGTGTCATGCGAGCGCAGCCACCGGGGCACTCGGTGGGGCGCCAATCGGGGCCACGAAACGTGCGAGGGGCATGCCGACATGGGCCCGGTGGTGTTATGCGAACGCAGCCACTGGGGCCTTCGGTGGAGAACCGTATGGGGCCACGAAACGTGTGAGCGGTGTGCCGAAATTGGTGGTGGTGTCATGCGAGCGCAGCCATTGGGCCTTCGGTGGAGCTCCCTATGGGGCCTCTGCACTGGGCGGGGGAAACGCAACGACATCACAACAAACAGGAAGAAAAAAAAAAAATGGCCCCACGCTCCTTGCTTGGAAGGCACGCGCCGACGCCAGCGCTTCCCCCACACCAGAAAGAAGCAAACGCAACAGCTGGTAGAGGCGCACGTTGGCAACATCGCAATTTCAACCTGACGTTGTTGAACGCCTCGCGCGCGCATCCTGCGGGGAGAAATGATTGGACATACTCACCGACGTCGTCTTCCAACCACCTGTGCCAAAATTGCCTCGTCGCCGGCTTGAGTTTCCCCTTTTGCGCTGGCAAAAATATATACATTGCCTCTCACTGGGTGGACCGGTACAGAAATGATCGGCAACTTGTGTTTGATTACTTATGTTTGGAAAATCTTCGAACGCGTACGCTCACACAGTGGAGGCTGTCAACGAA